TACCTATAGGGTTTTACCGGGTGTAGAATATAAATCCATGAGATTGCAAATTTAAATATGCGCCAAACAACATGTTTACAACTTTGTGCACATTAATTTTCTCTTGTGCGTATGTTGTGGGAGTAAGAGGATCAGTGTTCTAAGTTTTGGGGTTTTCAGCAGGATTCAGAGTTTCGGTGTTCTATGGTCATCAATTGCAACATACAGGAGATCCTTCAATTTGGCTTGTTGTTGGGCCGAGTGTTGGGGTCTTCAAGACCGGAAATGGACGAGATGTCACAAGGGAAGCTTGCTTTGTGACACAGAACGGCTGAAAAGCAAGCCGGACAAACGCCGTCACAGCGGTAGCGACTGGGCTGTCCTCACCCGGGAGGAGAGTAAACTCGTCTTTCGGGAGCTCCTCAGGTGGGGTAGTCAAGGGGTTTGACTTTGGCAGTCGCAGACTTAACCGTCCAACCATACGCTCGGCCCACCAATCCAAATTCCACGGAATATGCTATATAAAAAAGACAAAATTAATGTACACACATATATACGTAGTGTGTGTACTAGTATGCGTACAAACATAGTGGATACATAGTGGTATGTATAGTATGTGTACTGGATACATAGCGCATCGCCGCCGCATTCATTCATGGTAATAGTATGCGTACTTCATAAAATATGTATGCAGTATCTACACATGTTATGTCGTATATGCGTAGTGTGTATGTACTATGTAGGCATGCAGAATATGTACGCGAAGAATGTGGGAGATTATGAGTGTGACCTGGGACAGAATTGCTGTGGCATACTGCGTAGCCACACGGGCCCTGCAGGGCCCTGCAGGGCCGTCCCGCACTTTCAGCCTAAAAGCCTAAGAAATAGGGCTTACAGGCCCCGGTCGTTTCAGCCTGAAACTGAAAAACGAGGGCCTGCAGGCCCTATTCCGTTTTCAGCCTATTTCTGGGCCTTTCAGGCCCAGAGGCTTTTCAGCCTGAAACAGAGGGCCATTTTCAGGCCCTCATTGTGTTCGACCTACCCTAAGACTCAGGCACAAAAACAGGGTTTCGGAACAGGCTATTTCTGGCCTGTTCCTCACGACAGCTCGAGCAGGAGCTGCAGCAGCAGCCCCTGCCTCTCTTCGGCATTGGCAAGAGCAGCCTCCTGGACTGCCTCGCCTGCAGTCAGGAGGCAGGCCGTGTAGTACATAGGAAGTCCCATGCACTTCACGGGGAGGTAGTTGGACAGTAGGCACGAGTAGTCTTCAGGATTCAGCGCAGCACGCAGGAGGAGCGCTGCAGGGAGTAGCTTAGCACTAGCAGTAGTCTTCAGCGCTGGGCGCTAGTAGCCATAGCAGTAGTCTTCAGCGCTGGGCGCTAGTAGGTGGTAGATAGTAGAGTTGGGAGAGATGGCTGGCGGAGGCCAGCGAGACTTACCTGTGGCGTCATAGCTCAGCTCCATCTTCGAGGTACCTGCATCAAGGCGCCAACTTCACCGGTTAGTACTGGACTGAGAGAGAGAGAGAGAGAGTTCTTCTTCCTCCTCTTCTAAGTCCACCATCTCTTCTTCCCCTCTCACCACCTGACTTCTCAGTATCAGCAGACTGACTACTACAGAGAGAGAGTTGTGACTTGGGACTTGACGACATTGGATCCAGACTTGACATTTGGGATTCAGACATTTCGACGAGGGACTATTTGGGCTTGTGCCGAAGACTTGGTGTTGACGACATTCCCATCTTCCCCCTCCTCTTCGTCTAACCCCTTCTTCTTCGTCTGTGTATGGTAGGGGCTGGCGCAGTCTTCCTGTGTGAAGCGCCAGACCCCATTCACACCATGTAACGATGATGATGATGTATGTTCAGGGCTGCATTGCAATATTGATTGTTCGGATCATTGGTATTTAAGTGTTCCGCTACGCCATCTTGTACTTTGTATTGAGAGGTCGGTTCTTGTTCTGGTCTGCACCGTTACAGTATGCAACAATTGCACAGCGCAATATGTGGGGCTCAATGTGATGACCCATGTGGAGCATGGGCAACAACATCGCAATATGATGTTAGGGCGATCGAGTAAGAAGCAGGGAGCAGCTGAGCAGAGAGATGAAGTCCAATATGCCTGACGCACAGGAGATCAGTCTTGCTGACTTGCATGAAGAACCCTGCTTCAGGAGGGGGATGGCTTGCACTTTGGTGGATGTTCTTGTGGGGCGCGTCAGTGTTACATAGAGGCTGATATGGCATCAAAATAACATGTATTGGCTTAGAGTTTGTAGACGATCTGTATGACCTGGTGCAAGGATCTTGCATCTCAGGATGCTGCATGCACGCCGCGTCTGGCGGGATGTATCGGCCTGCCACTTTGCTTGGAAAGCGTTCACAGGCAAAACAGGACCAGCAAGGATCCTGCATGTCAGGATGGCCTTTTTAAACTACGAGTACATGCCAGTCATCGGTTCGCGGGTCCCTTTCGGAGGCTGCCCGCCGTCGATTTTATTTTATCGACGGCGCGCGAGCCTCCTAAATTTTAGGAGAGGCTCAATCGGACTCTCAACTTGGCTGGGGCCATGTACAGGTGCTTTAAGGCACCAGTACTACATTACGTCTCCCACCCATTTTTCTCCGGCGTGGCTGCATGCATGCACAAAGCGTCTGGCTGGATGCACCGGCCTGCCAATTTGCTTGGAAAACATGCAGGCGAAACAGGACCGCAGGGCGACTCGTTTTGCCCGGATGTTTCCAAGCAAAAAAATTGAAGGCCGGGTGCATCCCGCCAGATGCGACGTGCAGGCACCCGCATCGCTGAAAAATGGTTGGGAAGCAAACGTACTTGTGGCTTGAACCACCAGTCCACTGGAAGCTAAATCGATGACCCAAAAAGTGCATTTTGCCGAGCCGAAAAGTGACCGGTACCGGCCTTCGGGAAAAAAACAATACGGTACCAGTTTCTGGCCTCTGCATTTTTGAAAAGTCCGGGCCTCCCACAGACATTTTGGGAGCTGTAGGTCGCTGACTGCTCCGTCTGTTGCTCTACCATCCGTGGACGGAACGGCCCAGGGGCCGATTCTCGTACTAAGGAACCGGATGAACAGTAACTTCAGATGGACTGGCTATTTAAACCAGCAGTACCCTAGGGGGTCTTAGGTCTTAGGCCCCCCCTCTGGGGAGGCTATGACGTAAATGCATATGGACGCGCGCGGCGCACCGATTCAGCCACCGCGTTAACGGCCTAAAAACGTCCAGGTACTGACGGTCTAACTCGACTGCTTCAGAAAGTTGTCCACGTCAGCTGACGGACTGCCGATCCGATCCGTAGGAGATTCATCTCTCCTCTTGTTTCGGAGTGTGCGTTTTCTACGTGCCTGCAGATGTATGGTAGACATCCATCTTTTGATCAAACAGGCCATGAGCTCGAATCCTAGCGGATGAAATCATGTCTTAGGAGTGTCTCCGTTTTTGAGGTACCGAGTTTCGAGAGTGACTTTGTGGCAACAACTGACCATAGTTCGGCGGTTTTTCGATCTGAAAATTTTTAGATCTATACCGCGGACGAAACCGTCGATGGAAAATTCGATTTTTGACTTTAGTTGAAATTGTGATCCACCAGTGGCCTCTCATCCAATCAATGAGTCTCAAATAGAGACATGAACTGTCATGAAGTCAACGGATATGAAATTGGCGGACTGCCATGAAGTATTTATTTTCCTTTGTGAATTTCATCGACATGAAAATTGATGAAATATGACTATATTTCGCTCACGAGTTTAAGGGCCTCGCTCCACTACATAAAAAAAAAAAAAGTTTAAAAACAGAAAGGGAGACGGAGAGCGGTACATTAGGCACCAAAAGTTGACTATATGCAGTGTATGGTAATTGTGTTCAGGGGAACTTCACGCCGAACTTCACGGAACTTCAGCTCCCTTTTTTTTCCTTCGTTGTTTTCCGTTTAAACCACCACTCCCCCCAACGGAAGAAATTGGCCTTTCCTGGCCATGGGGGGCAGCGGGGGCCGCATTTTGGGGGAGGTCGGCGACCAAGGGAGCACGAGGAAAAAAATGCGAACGAAAACAAAACAAAACAAAAAATGGAAACGACTGTCTTGACTCTTGAGGTGCGTGCCAGCATCGGACTGACTGGACCCTCCACAGAAACGTGCGGCGCGTTGGCTGTTGATGCATCACAGAAGACATGGAGACAAGGGCGGAGCATAGGGAAGATTCATTCTCATTTTGCACATGTGCTGAGCAGCGGAGCCACGACGTTCTTCCAAACGACACCCCTGTACAGAAGGGCAGCACAAAAGACAAAAACAAAGAGGCTGTGCATCTTCCCATTTTCAAGGGAAGATTCGGTCTCATTTTGCACATTTCGTTAGTAGTGGAGCCACGGCAGCCGTGCTCCACTACTCACCATATGTGCAAAATGAGAATGAATCTTTCTCTAGAAAACGGGAAGATGCACAGCCCCCCTTTTTTTTTGTGTGTGCACGTTGTGAGCAGCGGATCAAGGCCCTTTTTCTCTGGGAGGATGGCAGGTTGTTTTGAAAAAAAAAAAAAAAAAAAAAAACGGCGGGATGGAATCATGAAATTGTCTTTAAAAACGGCGGGATGGAATCATGAAATTGTCTTTCTTTTTATTTTTGCCAACTGTCAATCGACGGGCCTCCCTTCAACTACGAGGCAGTGATGAATCTAGCGGCAGGGTGATTTCCTGGCAGGTTTCCTACCCCTCACAGGTCGTAGCAGTCCTGCTACCGGTAGGTCAGATGCCTGCTCCAGAAAAATGCGCCCTTCCGGTCCCCCCCCTGTTTCTACAAGGCGGGGGGAGTGGTGGGTGGTTTAATTTCAGAAGGTAGCCCTTTAGCGCCTTGAGGGCACTGAGATGGAAATGTGTGTGACGGTGTGACAGTGTGACGTCTCCGTCCAAAACGGCCGGTTGATGTTGTTTGGGGCCTTGTGAACAATTAAATTGAATTAATTGATTACCTTGATGGATGTGTGTGTTGGGATGGTGTGTACAGCTTACCTTCGTCAAAGGATGTCCGCGAGCAGTGCTCGGAAACGACGACGAGGATCGAACGAGACAGGATCCGAGCTATTTTGTGGTTGCTGATTGGTTGGCATGGAGCGGAGCTGCTAAGGTTCACGAAGCCGAATCGATACAGATTGCACAAGATGCGCCAAGCCCTCGAGAAAGCCGATTGATTATCTGGCCACCTTCTTCTCGTGCTGTCGCAACTGGTTGCCCTGCGCGGTATGCCCGCCCCCCATTCTTCCTCATGGTGTGTTGCTCTCGCTTATCCTCTCTTTTCCCTTTCATCACGCCAGAGCCCTTTTTTCTTTTTTTTCTTTTTCCCTTCAGAAAACTGAGTTAACCCAGAAAAAAAGAAATTTCACATTTCGAATTCTCTGCCTGGGTTTAAGGGTACATTCCTCCGGGATGCAGCGTGTAAAGCAGATGCGCTTCCAGGTGTCGCAGTGTAATGGGCGATTCATTTCGTTCCGGGATTCCCAATTCTCGTGAGTCGTGAGAGAGTAATTAAGGAACTAACTCTTTCTGTTGGAGGGAGAGTTCGCTGATTGTACATTTTACGTTTTGTGACATTTCTTTTTAAGAAGATCGTAGATCGTGCGTAGGCTTTCATTGTTCTGCCCAACTTTCTCCACAAAGGTTTCACCTGCACCCAATTCCAATACACCTGTTTGTTTATAAAGTGCTATTCGCCTCTGTTCCACTTTCTCTCCCTCCCTTTCTCCTCTCTCCCACAATCACTCCATCCTTTTCTCAGACCCTCCTTCCCTCCCTGTGTCTCTCTGTGTATATATGTATCTATCTATCTATCTCCTGTCAATCCCAATTAATCATGTCTCAATTCCATTGTCACCTCTCTCTCTCTCTCTTGCCACCTCTCTCTCTCTCTCTCTCTCTCTCTCTCTCTCTCTCTCTCTCTCTCTCTCTCTCTCTCTCTCTCTCTCTCTTCTGTATGTCTGAGGATGATGTGTACTGGTGAGTGCATG